TGACCAGAAATTTAAGCGATGACCCGAAATTTAAGCGATGACAGGTTGATGAGACGAACTAGTTCTCCCTTAATTTACTCAAGTCAATTTTACGAGATCAATTTGTAGTTGAAAATTTCTACCATAATACAAAGTGAATTGATGAGTTTAATCTGTGTTTACGTATTTGAGGCTGTTGAGAGTACCTGTGTGTGTGTGTGTGTGTGTGTGTGTGTGTGTGTGTGTGTGTGTGTGTGTGTGTGTGTGTGTGTGTGTGTGTGTGTGTGTGTGAGAGAATTTTCCTTCCCGTAACAAGGTGGGAGTCAAATGCTACAGGTAGACATGTACACACAGCAGCTGGGAGGTACACACAGATTGGAACACACACACACACACACACACACACACCATAAAACAAGAGGAAAGAAAACTTAACAAAATAAAAAAAAACACGAATATAAAACAAACAAACAAAACGAATAGACACCAAGTAAACTAAAGTAAAACGCTGAATCCCGCAGTTTGTTGGGCGTGTGTTAACTTTTGTTCTGAACTGTTGCTCTAAGTCAACTTGTGTGTGTGTGTGTGTGTGTGTGTGTGTGTGTGTGTGTGTGTGTGTGTGTGTGTGTGTGGGGCGGCAGTGTGAGAGAGAGAAACAAGACAGAAAATGGTAGATAAATAGGTTGACAGAGATAAATAGACGGAGAGACAGTGATAGGACAGTTAAGACATTACGTTGTGTACCTGATGGATAAAGGAGCCGGAACATGAGATCTATTCGGATTATATCCCTATTAGGATTTGGGACCTATTAATACTAGCTCCTTATTAGGATTTGGGACCTATTAATACTAGCTCCTTATTAGGATTTGGGACCTATTAATACTAGCTCCTTATTAGGATTTGGGACCTTTTAATACTAGCTCCCTATTAGGATTTGGGACCTATTAATATTATCTCTCTATTAGGACTTGGGACCTATTAATATTAGCTCTCTATTAGGACTTGGGACCTATTAATATTAGCTCTCTATTAGGACTTGGGACCAATTAATACTAACTCCCTGTTAGGATTTGGGACCTATTAATACTAGCTCCCTATTAGGACTTGGGACCTATTAATACTAGCTCCCTGTTAGGATTTGGGACCTATTAATACTAGCTCCCTATTAGGACTTGGGACCTATTAATACTAGCTCCCTATTAGGATTTGGGACCTATTAATATTAGCTCTCTATTAGGACTTGGGACCTATTAATACTAGCTCCCTATTAGGACTTGGGACCTATTAATATTGGCTCCCTATTAGGATTTGGGACCTATTAATATTGGAATCCCTTTGACCTACAACCAAGGGGAATCTAATGTTAGGAGCCTCCGCGAATCACGGCTCGGGTCTGGTTGTCAATGGCCAATCAGAGAGTTTGATACCGTGTAGCGGGTAAGCTTGTTAGAGCCTTGTTAGGTAATATTGGACAATCGATAAAGGAGGAAAGAGAAAGGGTGGAGGGTGGAAGAACGAGGGAAGAGAGAGAGAGAGGGGAGGAGGGACAAGGCAAACAAGAGAGAGTGAGAGAGGAACAAGGCAAGCAAGAGAGAGAGGAACAATGCAAGCAAGAGAGAGAGGAACAATGCAAGCAAGAGAGAGAGGAACGAAGTAAGCGAGAGAGAGAGGAACAAGGCAAGAAGAGAGAGAGGAACAAGGCAAGAAGAGAGAGGGAAGTAAGCGAGAGAGAGGAACGAGGGAAGAGAGGGAGAAAGAGAGAGAGAGAGCACCTCCATTCCCTCCACCCCTTACCCCCTCCTCAATACTCCTGACGGGGGTACCTCCATTCCCTCCACCCCTTACCCCCTCCTCAATACTCCTGACGGGGGTAGTGTCTGCTCCCTCTCCCCCCTCCCTCTAGGTAGTGATGGGCATCTCATTAGCTTAATGTCATTTAGTCCCTCACCCACGTCCCTCCTCCCTCCCTCCCTCTCCCTCCTCTCTCCTTTTTTTCTTTCATCTCCTTCTCTCACCCTCTTTTTATCCTTTCACCCCACCCCCTCATATTCCTTCCCAAACACCCCTTCCACCTCCCACAACCTCACTTCCCTTAATAACCCTTCCCTCCTCCCTCCCACTTCCAAATCCCACCTTCCTTCTCCTCTCCCCACTAATCACCCTCCACTCCTCCCCCTTATTAAATTGTTCCTCTGCTCTCATACACTAAATACCACTCCTCCTCCTCCCCATCAAACACCTCCTCCTCCCTCCCCACTAATCACCCCTCCTTCCCCTCTTACCTCAAACACTCTTCCTCCTTCCTCACTCAAACACCCCTTCCTCCTCCCCACCCACCCTCCACCTCCCCACCTCCACTCCCCACTCAACACCCTCCACCTCCCCACTAAACACCCCCCTCCACCTCCCCACTAACACCTTCTCCACCTCCCCATCTAAACACCCCCACTCCTCTCACCTCCCCACTAAACACCCTCCTCCCACATCCACCTCCCCACTAAACACCCTCTCCCCTACTCAAACACCCCCTCCTCCCCATTAAACACCCCTCAGGCACTTGTCCTTTATTGTTTACTTCGGTGTTTAACTCACTGTGTTGGGTGGAACTTGGTTGTTTGTGGTGGTGTGGCAGGGAAGTTGTTTGTGGTGGTGTGGCAGGGAAGGTGTTTGTGGTGGTGTGTGGCAGGGAAGGTGTTTGTGGTGGTGTGGCAGGGAAGGTGGTGGGTGTGAGGCAGGGAAGGTGTTTGTGGTGGTGTGGGCAGGGAAGGTGTTTGTGGTGGTGTGAGCAGGAAGGTGTTTGTGGTGGTGTGGCAGGGAAGGTGTTTGTGGTGGTGTGTGGGAAGTTGTTTGTGGTGGTGTGAGGCAGGGGTGGGAAGGTGTTTGTGGTGGTGTGAGGTAGGGAAGGTGTTTGTGGTGGTGTGAGGTAGGGAGGTGTTGTGTGGTAGTGTGGCAGGAAGGTGTTTGTGGTGGTGTGAGGCAGGGAAGGGTGTTTGTGGTGGTGTGGTGGGAATGGTGTTTGTGGTGGTGTGGCAGGGAAGGTGTTTGTAGTGGTGTGGTGGGAAGGTGTTTGTGGTGGTGTGGGAAGCTGTGTTTGTGGGTGGTGTGGCAGGGAGGTGTTTGTGGGTGTGTGGGCAGGGAAGGTGTTTGTGGTGGGGTGGGGGCAGGGAAGGTGTTTGTGGTGGTGTGGCAGGGAAGGTGTTTGTGGTGGTGTGAGGTGGGAAGGTGTGTTTGGTAGGGGAAGGTGTTGTGGTGGTGTGTGGCAGGAAGGTGTTTGTGGTGGTGTGAGGGAAAGGTGTGTGTGTGTTGTGGTGTGTAGTGGTGTGGGGAAACTGTGTGAGAGGGGGTGAGGGAGAGATGGTGATGGGTGTGGATGGGTAGATGGAACAGAGGAGGTGAAGGAGAGGTTAAGGTGGGTGTAGAGAGAGAGAGAGAGAGAGAGAGAGAGAGAGAGAGAGAGAGAGAGAGAGAGAGAGATTTATTCTTGGAGTTTTCTTAAGAAGCCACCCTCATATTTTTTCTTAATTATTTGTGAGCTGCTTCATCCTTGCTTCGGATTATTCATAATTGACCTCCATCTTACCCTGGGTGTGTTCTTTCATCTCCCCCCTTTGATGCCTCGTTACAGCGGACCCTCGATGTAAGGACCAGGGTTTTTTTTTCCTCATGCAAGAGCTTGTTGACCTGAAGAAGTGTGTGTGTGTGTGTGTGTGTGTGTGTGTATGTGTGTGTGTGTGTTTTCAATATATACTGTATAGTTATATTTACAAAATTACTTAATATTTTCATAGTTATACATGCAAAATTACTTAACATTTTCACGCATACAAATACATATGTTGAAATACAACTACATATACATTAGATAGTAACTACGAATGCTTGAGTGACAAATGTATAATCGTTTAAACATGGAGCCACCGTCATGTCTGAGGGTTGGCGACCATGGCCCTCCAAGTGTGAGGCGTGTAATAAGACCTGCCAGAATTATAATGCTTGAGTATATTCAGGTGATTTGAGTTTTACTACTACTACTACAACTACTACTATTACTACTACTGCTACTATTATTATATTATTCTTATTGTTGTTGTTATTATTGTTTTGAGTTCACATTTATAATAGAGTTAAACGTATGAGCCACAACTCTCACATGAACTAGGTCCCCAGCTGAGGGTGAAAGACATGTTAGGAATAAGCAAATGAAAATTCAGTGGGATCCAGAGACGTAATGAAGGAAACTCTTGTACACATCCTCGGGTCTCCGCCGGTGGTAAATAAAGCGACACATCTTGGGCAGTACCCGGGGCGTGTTCACCTGCCTGCTGATTAATGGGTCATGTCAGGTGTGTGTGTGTAATGACCTTACAAAACACGCACACTTTACATAACAATATTCGTAATTAAATACTTCACAAACAGTAAAGCTTATCAGACTTGTACTCTATAACACAAACACGTATCCATCTACTTTAAACCTTTTAGAGTCGGAAAACAAAATCCAAATTACTAAAAAAAACAAAAAAGTAATCAAAACAAAGTCACTTTTTGTTGTTTATCTAACACGGAAATACATAAATAAACAAAACAGTCAGGTTATGTCTGTAACCTGGAATTAGTTTCTGTGTTTCGTCTCAAACCACAACCTCTTGATCAAGCAGTCTATTCATGCTGCTGACCCTGAGGCAAGGTGGTGTATCCTAACCCCAGCCACCGCACGTCTAGGTTGATTAGCTGAACACACACACACACACACACACACACACACACACACACACACACACACACACACACACACATACATACATACAAGTGGTCAAAGTTCCCTGATAACTTGACAACATCACCATCTCCCTTACCTACACGACCCTCTAGTCAAGTCGATGGTGCCAGATAGCTACTGACGAAAGTGTCCAGGGAATTATGTGACCAATACCTGATAGATGCTCTGTGTTGCTTGAGGCACGACCAGCATTGTTTTGTGTTGCTTTAGACTCACCAGTGTTTCTTTCTCCCGACAGACACCAGAACACATCAACACCAGCTTATGGGGCCGCACCACTACAACACCGGGTGAGGACCATAACTTTGACCAGTTAAGAGATGTGTGTTACTGTTATGGAAGGAGTTGTTGCCCTTAACCTAACCTAACCCCACCTACCATACCTTAACCTAATCCAGCATAAATCAACTTAACCTGACCTAATGTAATCAAACTTTGTCTAACCTAACCTAATATGGGCCTAACCTCCCTCCTAACCCTCCCTTTCCTATAAATGGTGTATCCTCTTGCGGGTTCCTTCCCTACAGTAGGATCTCACCTGGGTGTATCCTGCGAGGTCCTACGAGTTGTTGTTATTCAGGTAGGTGGCGGATCGTGACCATTACTGGCTGCCTCGAGTACACTGTGAGGCTGTTGATCCACCTCTCCCTCCCTCACCTGCCTCACCTCCCTCCAGCCTCCCTCGATCACGTCCACTCACCTTCATCCCTCCCTCCCTCACCTCCCTCCAGCCTCCCTCCATCACGTCCAGTCACCTTCATCCCTCCCTCCCTCACCTCCCCCTTGTTTGGTCGAGGTCCATCAAGTAGGTCCGCTGGTTCTGTTCGATGCTTAGATTAAATTTTCCTTTAGGTGTGCGTGTGTTCGTTTAATGCACATATTCGTTAAACCCCCTCCGTCATGCTTCCTTGTGCCTCTCCCCTTTCTTTACGCTTCCCCCTCCCCTCTTCCTCTCCCCTCCCCTCTTCCTCCCGCCAGCACTTCTGTACCTCACCAGGACACCAGGTAATAGTCCACTTCCGTCCCCCCCACGTCACTTCCCCCATGCTGGAGTTACTTGCGTTAAAGAGCGGAACTTTCTGGTTCCGTCGAACAAGTGATGAAATATCGTAAGTTTTTGTGAGTTTGTGGTAGCAGTTGACGCTGTGAAGGGAACTAACTTACCTGCCGCCGTAAACTAACTTATTTCTTACGGAGTACCTTTGTGATATACTGTACCTGCCTCGTACCGTACTACCACAGACTGTACCATTGGCACTATATAACATACCGGTAATGTACCTATGCTACCACAGTGTACATATCTGTATCTTGTTGTGGGTAGGTTTAGATTTGTATATATACTGTTTATACTAGAGAATTAATCACCACTACTACTACTACTACTACTACTTTTTTTTTTTTTTTGAACGTGGCCTCCAGCCTCCCCCAATAGCCACACCTTCGCCACCATTTAATTACCTTAATATTAAATATCCTAATACATAAGTAGCTATCCTATCTGTGTTAAATTAGTTGAGCCGCAGATCTATGCGGCATTCAGTGACTGTAGCCTCATAGTCAATATCTGCAGCAGTTGTCGGAGTTGGGGCAGAAGCTCTCGTTCCCCTGAGGCAGAGCAAAGCCGACCGAAGGAGAGAGAAAGACAGTCGACATCTCATCCAGGCTGTAACATAACGCCGACCGAAGGAGAGAGAAAGACAGTCGACATCTCATCCAGGCTGTAACATAACTTCTGGGCTGCTGCTTCTGTTCGGAGATCACCTCCGCGAGTCTGGCGTAGAAACATCTTGCACTTGGTCCCATCCCGCCAGAGGTTGTGAACACTAGAAGAGTGAAGCTGCCTTGATCAACGTTTTGAATTCTCTCCCCATATGCCCTTCTCTTGTCGTTCTCGTTCCTCCTATGTGCAGCATCGAGAGCTAGGTTACGGTGACATGCGGCCATGGGATCAAAAATCCTACTACTACTACTACTACTCAACACCCTCACCACCACCAGCCCCCTCTCAACCCCCTCACCATCACCCCTCTCCCTCACCCTTCTCCCTCACCCTTCTCCCTCACCCTTCTTCCTCCCCCCTTCACCAACTTGTAGGTTAATAACACCATCAAACCAAAATGTTCCTTTGACGTTAAAGTAATTACCGTCAGCCGTAGATTAAAGGCAACAAGTGTGTAAAAAAACCCCGGCATAAGAGCCTTGGGTATTAAACCTCTTTAAGATCATATGAAAAATGGCATCATATTGAAGTAATTTTTTATGAGATCAGTGACGGGGTGGGCTTCGGTGGGCTGCTTGGTCCTTAATCAGTGGAGGGGTGGGTTGGGGTGGGCTACCTGGTCTTTAATCAGTGGAGGGGTGGGCTACCTGGTCCTTAAACAGTGGAGGGGTGGGCTAGGGTGGGTTACGGGTTTCTTGATCAGTGGATGGGTGGGTTACCTGCTTCTTCATGAGTGGTGAGGTGGGCTACCTGCTCCTTAATCAATGGAGGGTGGGTTGGGATGGGCTACCTGCTTCTTCATCAGTGGAGGGGTGGGCTAATTGCTTTTTGAACTAATGGATCGTATTGCCCCCTTTAAATCATACTGTTGCTTGTACGGGGGTAGGGAAGGTTAATGGATCGTATTGTCTCCCTTAAACCCTTTCTCTTGGCTCTATCTAAGGGGTGAGCCACTGGATTAAGGGCAAAGAACTCCCGGATGTGTTTTGGGGATTCGTTTTGTGTGTGTGTGTGTGCGTGTGTGTGGTGGCGCGTGAGTTTCCACAGTACTTCCGGTCAGAGCGGCACTTGGTCCACGGCCACGGGTGTTGAGGACAGGAGTCAACACCACCACCAGTACGTCTCTCTCTCTCTCTCTCTCTCTCTCTAGGTGAAGCAAGCAGTGTTATCAGCCCAGGGTGTGAGAGAGGGAGGTGGTTGTAATACAGTAACAGGTCCCCTGGTTGGCTGGGTGCCCGCAGGTGGCTGGGTTCTAGTGGCTGGCAATATTTACTCCCTCTCTTCCTGTTGACAAGGTAAATATTCACGTTCGCCTTTTTATTATTTGTCCCGTTTTCTCCCGTTGTGGGGGTTTAATATGAGGTACTAGTCTGGTGGGTAGTGTCAGTGGTGTGGGTAATATTGGTTGGATAGTTCTGTAATATTCTCGTGTGGATAATATTGGTTGGATATTTCTGTGTTATTCGGGTTGGATAGGTTACAGTCTCCGTTTTATGGGTAAAAGTGATTGGATATTTAAGTAATATTCTCGTGTGGATGATATTAGTTGGGTATTTCTGTAATAATTTTTGTGTGGGTAATAGTGGTTGGATATTTATGCAATATTCGGATAGTGTTCGTTTTGTGTGGGTTGTCATAGCTGAATATTATTGTAATATTTGGATAGGTGAATATTTTTATCTCTTTTGTGTGAGGTAATACTCGTTAATACTCAGGAATATTTGGATGATCTACTGAATATTGTAATTTCCGTTGTCTTAAATAATACCGGTGGGGTATTTATCGGATAATATCGGGATAGTCTTAGAATAATCATGTAATATCGGGATAGTCTTCAGAATATTGCAAAAAATAATCGGATAATATCGAGATAGTCTTTAGAATATTGCTAAAAATACTTAAATAATTGAATATTCTCTCATAAATATTAATGAATATCTAAGTGAAGATACGAGTCTGTATTTTATTCTTGGGTAAAAATTGATCAGAAAAAAATATATATTATTTTAGCGAAAATTGACAAAAAAATAAAATATTGATAAAAAAGAAACAGTTGTGATAACAGTAGAAAATTGATTCTTCTTCTTCTTCTTCTCTGCATTTCCTTTTCTTTCCTCCTCTTCTTTCCCTTTTTTTCTATCTTCTTACTATTTCTCCCTCTTTTACTTCCCTCCTTCACTACCGTTCCTCCTTTCTGACGAGAGACAAACAGACAGACAGAGAACGTAACAGAGCGAAAGACAGACAGACAAACAGAGAGAGATAATGGCCCAAGCATCCTCCTTCCCTCCCCCTGGTGTGAGAGAGAGAGAGAGAGAGAGAGAGAGAGAGAGAGAGAGAGAGAGAGAGCTGGCCCCAACACACACACACGCAGCTGATGTCAACACTATCCACCCAGTATTGATCCACCTCCAGAAACTGAAGCAAAAAACTTATGTACATCCCAGTGTGGAGAAGTTTCCCACCTTGTAACTAAGACGACTGTGGTAGGTGGTGGCGTGGAGTGGAGAGTGGTGGTGACGTGGAGTGGAGAGCGGTGGAAGGGGGAGGGGTGGTGGTGACGGGGGGTGGCGCTGATGACGTAGAGGGTGGAGATGTGGAGGAGGTGGGAAGGGGAGGATGAAGGGGAAGTAGATAATTGTAGGAAAAGGAGGGAATATAAGGGAATAGAGAGAGAGACAGATTAACAGACAGAAAAGACACACACACACACACACACACACACACACACACACACACACACACACACACACACACACACACACACAGTTATGGCTGGTATAATATCAAAGTACCAGTCTCACACGTTACCAGATACTGTACAAAACACCACTTAACCTCAGTCACATACATTTAACAGACTGTCAGTACGGTTGTGAGTGTGTGGCTGTCGGTCTTATCCCAGTCTAGCGTAGGTGTGTACAGGCTGTCACATCTCCAGACTGTCAATACGGCTGTGAGTGTGTGTGTCTGTCAGTTTTACCCCGGGCTAGATCTGTACCTTGTCACTGTCCACTACCTGTCAGGAGGAACTTACTCTTGAGGACTAAGATCATAATATTTAGTGGTAAATGTTCTTAAAATATGCTGACCATTTTTCTCCCGGAATATACTGTGTGTGTGTGTGTGTGTGTGTGTGTGTGTGTGTGTGTGTGTGTGTGTGTGTGTGTGTGTGTGTGTGCGCGCGCGCGTGTGTATGTGTGTGTGTGTGTGTGTGTGTGTGTGTGTGTGAGCGGAAGTCAGGGAGAGGCGTCATTTGCATACGAAGATGATGTCATGGCAACACAGGTTTTTCAGGGGTCGCCTCCCAAGAGATGCCTCACGTGGGGTGGTGGTGGGGGTGGTGGGCCAGGGTAAGAGTAGGTCCACTAATACAGTCCCTCCGCGCTTTACGACCTACGGAAACCTGTAATGCCTTCTTCTTCTTCCTGTATCCGTATTTACAGAGATTCATAAGATAGAATATTCAATGTAACTGAATATCTAAAGAATATAAATATGGTAATACATAGATACCTCTCTTAACTTAAGCTACATGATAAGATTGATATTCAGAAATAACCTTAA